GTTAATAATATTCTGCCATAGAAGCTGCCATTTTCCTGTAAATCAAATTGATTGGTAATGGCCAAAAGCATTCTCTAAGTAATCTGTTTATTGAAGCATAGCAGCAAGGAGTAAGGGGTGTTTTGTTTAAGCACACTGACACTAAAAGCAGACACAATATCTGAACCAGTGACACCACAGGCTTTTTTCCCTTTGGTCTTTCATGTCAGTGTAAGTTGACCTTGCTAGTCAACAAAGTGAAAAAATCCTTATAGAAATGTTTTCAGACCAGAGACCCACATATGCACACACCCTCACAGAGATACACACACACACACACACACACATATGCATGTGCACACATGTGTGTGTACAAAACTTAAAAGCATTTTAAGTAAGTGATTTGTTCCTTTTCTATTACTACTTAGAGTGATATAAAGGATTCCAAATCTTTTATGCTTTTATCTCTTATGTGAGGATCTAGATGCAAACTGAAGAGAAAAAGCTTCCCCACATCTACCTTTATTGAGAAGCTGGAAACATAAGACACCAAACTCAAAATACCCAGAAGCCAAGTTTCTAGTTTTTATAGCTATACAAGAGCTTTTCTCTTAAAATTTATATATTTATTTAGGCGCATATATATACACACACACACATATATATATTTATATTCTTAAGAATCCTCTCTTTTATGTTTTAACATCTAAAAACATTTTTAATTGTCACTACTTAAAATGTCTTTTGCAACTAACTTAGTTTCCTTTGTAATGGGATTTCAGTCCCTCTGAGCTATCTTATATTTGCGCAGGGCAGGGCTGGAATATCTTAACACTCAGCTACAGCTGTGAATATCCCATCTTCCTTCCTGCAAACCTCCTGGCCAGAAGAAAACCGTTATCCGAAGTCACAGCAAGTGCTAGCCTGTGCTATGCGCTGCCACACATCCGGCAGCAGGGGGAGCCAGTGGGAAAATAGTTGAGAAAAACTGGCTCCAGAAAAGCAGCTTAATTTGTACTCAAAGCAGAGAAAGAGACTAGAAATGGACCACAGAGACAAACTAAGACTCACAGAGAACTCGTAACCTTGTGTGCAAAGCCGGTGCAGAAGCCTTTGAAGTGAAACGTGGATAAAACTTAAGTCTCTGCAAAGGATGCTCGAATCCTAACTTCAAGACCAACCTGCAGTTTGCTGGAAAGCCCAGTGTTTGCCAACAGTGTTGAGCTGCCAAATGGTCCCCAAAATTTGAGAGCAGAAACAAGTTAACATTTTTAAGTTGATATGTCTTAGGGATATTTCAAAATGATTTAATTTTTCTCCTGAAAGCATCACTGAACTTACATGGAAAACCTAGTAAAATGAGCATTATTAGGTCGTGAGAGGGTTGTTGCAGGGTTGGAACAGAAATCTCTGAGGACTTTGAGACTAGACTCCTGCCAGCTCTCATGCAGATGCCTCTCACTCTTAGCTGACCTCTTAGAGGGGGGAGCTGTGACCAGAAACATCATGAAAGTATTCTGCATCTTAAAGTACTTTACTTTGAAAGTATTTTAGCTTTGTAAAATCTGTAGAGAAGGAGAGCAATGTGCCTCCAAACTAGTTCATATGTATGTCCTGAAGACTAGCAAGGCCTATATTTCCAGTTACAGTAGAAAAGAAAGATAGCTCATTCTGTCTGGAATTTAAATATGAATTTAAAAAATGCCTACTTAGAATATCTATTTAGAACTTCAAAATATTCTAGTTATTTAATGGATGATAAAGACAGATTTTAAAAAAAATCCAAGACACAGGGAATTTCTACCAAAAATTACTCTTGTGCAGTAAACTAATAAAAGCAAATATTTCAGACCAAAAGGAACTCATGAAACTTTGACCTCAAACTCTTATATTGCCCCTTCAAGACATTTATTATTATGCCCAGATTATGCTAAGGAAACTGTAGCTTAAAAATTTACATTATAATTTTTTTTTTAATAACTCAGCCAAGCAAAGAACAAAACGTGGAATGAATTTCCAGGTCTGTCCACCTTTAAAGCTCTGAGGCCTCACTGAAATTGCCCTCGATTGCTGGTTCCGGGGATTGGGGAAAATCTGTACAACTCTTAGGCAGATTAATGTGCATTTGAGAGTTAATGCTGTAGATGTAATCATTCAAATTAAATGCCATCTGGAATCTCTTACGCCTCCAGTACAAGCATCCAGCATGTGTTACAGCCACCTCTTGACTTGGCCAAGATTTCAACCATATTCTTGTCCCAAGTAGGCAACCTGTGTACACTGTGACAACAATACAGAAAATATGTTGTTTGTTTAGACACCACCTTAAGACTACTAATCATTTCAAGTTTCTTTTGTCGAGATCTTTTAAATATATGAATTCTCTTTTAACAGGCTTAAAGATCTGGCTTGGCCCGCTTTCTGTCTCCCAGATCGCCTCCAGAATAAATCCTGTTATCAGTTTAAGAAATCTACACATGTGATTAGTGTATTATTGTGTTTTTAATATATTAGGAAAAATGTTTAAAGCTTCCACAGAGGAGAATTCTGTCCTGATATTTGAAGGCAAAAGAAAAATGAGCCAAATACATTAACTGGCAATAAATTTACCAACGAAGAAGTAACTTATCAGATTCATTCACTCATAGGAAAGCCCATGGAAGCTGCTCACACGTTGCCAGTCAAAATGAAGGCAGGCTGTCTCTCCCAGCCCTTGGGTGACCAGTTGTTCCAACCCACTTTATCACTGGGTGGAAGTGGCTTGTTTATTAAGCAAAGGCTGACGTTACAACCATTATCAGGAACTTTTTTTTTTCTTTCCATGTTAACTTTCTCATCTCTGAAAGACCGTGAAAGCAGCTCATGAGTTTAGAAATGAATGAATTCATGAAGAAATGAGTGGCTTTGACACTAAAAATTTGAGCAATAGTTAACTGGGTAAATATATATATGATATAATATATTAAAGTAATAAGTATATAATGTGTCATGTCAACAATCTTCAGACCACCAGGCATAAGCACAGCTGGATGCATTTTGAAGACTATTTTCTCCCTTTAGGTCTATCTTACTTCAGCCGAATTAACCTACCTCCCATAGGATCCTGTGGCAGCTAATGCAAAGTCTGAGAACCTTTTTCAATGAAGGTTTTTTTTAAAAAGACAGAGCCCTGTCTAATTTGGTGTCTATAAAAGAAAGACATTATTCTGGGCAATCCCTGTGACGTAAAGTTTTCAGCTTAAAACACAGACATAAGCCACTTCACAGTTTAAGTCACGATGCTGTTCGACTGCACATCAATTATTAAACTCAGATGCAGGTTTCAACATCGAGAGTATGGATTTTAGGGAAAGTGGCTGCTCAGATTCGTGCAAAGTGTGGTCAAGTCATGTTGAAAGTATGGTCCAATGAGGTTGAAATAACAGGCAAATGCGTGTATCTGGCAAAGGGGCCTTCAGAATTTGATCTGTCTCTTACCACATACATATAAGAGGTGTGAGAACACAGGCCTACCCACTTAGCATTTAAGACATTGGACGTATTCAGCACATGTCTTCTGCTTTATACAGCAAATTATAAAAAGATGATCATATTTTAATAAATGTCACAATTCGTTAGTCCTATGAGAACAATGACACTTAATGCTGCTGCGGGGAATTAATAGTCCCAGTAAGAAAGCAGTAACTGGTCATTCGAATGAAGAACCAAGCCAAATTTAGAAATGAGACCCAGAGGACCAAAAAAAAAAAAAAAATGTAGATTTGATTATCAAGATGGTACAAACCGGTGGGGTGGGCCAGTAGGTAGGTTAATACTTTTTGGGGTGCCCCCCTTTAGTTTAAGGCCAACTTTTCACTTCAGCAGCAATGCTATCTCTATGAACAGTGTCACAGATACAACAATCCAGTGGTTGGCGGACAAGCTAAGGCATTTTTTTTTTAATAAAAATCTGCATGAGAAATAAATCAGGTGGGAAAGAAACTACACCGAGCAAACAGAACCAAAAGAAAGCACCATTCACCGACAGACAAATACAAGAGGTAAAATGTCATAACCCCCCTGACCTTGTAAAGGGGTGTCCAAAACTACAAAAATAGTTTAAAGAGACAACTACTTCTAATTGTCACATCTCTCTATTGACTCTCTCAGCCGTTTGCAACAAATACGTAGAAGCCTCCCTGCCTGGCCCCTAGGCCAGCCGATCATTAAAAACCACATCATCTCAATTATTTCTTTGCATAACTGAAGACATAAAACACATGATTTTGTTGTTGCTTTAAATGCAACTCTAAAAGCACTCTACCTTATCTCCCAGGCTGCTTACAGGCTGCCTGATTTGAAGGTTACTTCGAAGCCCCCCATGCTCCATTAACTGGCAAGAACAGCAGCGCTTTGGCACATAAGACACAAATGCCCAGCTAAAGCAGCTAAATGACCTCAGAAACCTGGATTTGGTCTCCAAGACTGAAGGAGACAAAGGCAGCATAAGGACCCTTCTAAATTTGTTCTCTGCGGATGGTACACACAGGGAACGGAATATTTAAAGGTCCAATCCTTACAAGGCACCCCGAGAACCAGAGAAATGGGAGGGAGGGTTGCAAGTTCAGTGAACTCTTCTGAGTTTGAGCAAGGTAGGTGGCGGTGGCGGCATCCTGGTTCCTTCACCGAGTCTTGCAACTCTTATTTCCAACAAAGAATCTTAAGCAGTGCCTTTGATAATATGCAACGCCACCACCAGACCCTACTGGGTTTCTGCTGCAAGGGCAAAGTGTCATTCTAAGGACCCTTCGTCCTAGGGATACTCAAAACTCTGCCAAAGTTGCCTTTGTAAAAGGTTTAATCTACCTGAAGAGAGGTGTGCAAACAGGAATCTCCCTCCAAAGGAGCAGAACAGCTAACTTGCAGTAAGCGTGACCAAATGATCTCTGTATTTCCCCAGGCCACAGGGATCGGTGATTCCCCAGCGTGGGAAACAGCAGTCTAGCAGCGTCACTGACACCCGAACCAGAACAGGGGCTTACCTTGTTGGAGGCCATCTCACTGACGGAGTGCCTGGTCTGCAGGGTCTCTAGCTGGTCCAGACACCAGTCCAGCTCCTCCAGGGTCTCGCTGGCCAGTTTCTGGTAGGCCTCCTCTGCGAAGAGACAGGGAAATGGAGACTCAGTTCTTAAGCGCTTCACGGGACCACCAGCGAGTTCAAAAGGGTCCATCCTGCCGTACCCCGCCATGCTCGGATGCCCGGTGCCTGCACATGAGGGCTGCTCCTTCATATTGCAGGGCCCGGCGGCGCGCGGGGGGCTGAGGTTGGACTAGTGGGGCCGGGCTCAGGCTGGCCGAGATGCTCCAGCTTGACGTCGCGGGTCAGCCTCCAGGGAGGGGCGCAAAGTGCTGCAAGGCCAACTTTGGCACCGGGGACGCCAGGCGCTAGCTCGGGCTTCCCTGCGCTTAGATGCTGCCCCTGGTGGCCGGCTCAGGGGGAGGAGGGTGCGACCAGGGGTTCGCCCCGCAGACCGGCGAGTGGCTCACGGGCGTCCGCGTCCCGCAGCCCAGCCCCGGCTCCACGCCGCCGGCCCGCCGACAGCCCCGCGCGCGAAGCGAATGAATCAGCCGCGGCCGCCGTTTCCTGTTTTGTCGCTCAAGTCCGCGGGCGGGCGGGCGCAGCGCCGCTCCATGCTGGCTTTCCGGGAACACTCCCCCTCGCGCCCCTCGCGGCCCCGCGGCGCTGTCTGGCTCCCCCGCGACTCCTTACGAAAGGGTTCCGAGTTGTAATACGCCGTCCGGACCGCCCTCCCCGCCACCTCGCCGCGGCATCGCCCGGAGGCAGACGGCGCCGCTGCTTTGAAGCGCAGCCGGGAGGCGCGGCCGCGCGCGTGTGTTGTGTGTGCGGCGCTGCTGTGGAGCTGTCTTACACCAGAGCAGCGGAAAACCCGGCGTGGAGCGCCCGCCGCCCGCCGCCTGGGGTCCCCACGGGGCTCAGAGGGGGCTCGACCGGCCCCCAGCGCGCAGGCGCATGCGATCGCGCACCTGCCCCTCGGGGACCCTGGGGCGCACAGCGGAGTCCTGGGCCCTCTGCCCCAACGCAGCCTGCCAGGCCCTGGCGTCCTGGGCGAGCACAAGGTGACTTAGGACTGGCATTACTCTTCCCGCAGGTTTAGGTTTGCGACTTTCCCTGCGTTTGTGTCCCAGAGGTTAGGATTACTTACTCAAAGGGGATTCTAGGAATAAAATCATTTGGGGGGGGGGGGGCGCACACTGTCAGTACTCAGCCAACCCCTCTAAAATTGAGTTAGATATAAACAGACAAACCATAATGTTGTGGGGTCAGAATGCTTTAGAATATGACAACAGGCTACATTTCACCTTCAGAATTTCACCAAAGAGCTACCTTAAAGGAACAGCAATGGGAATGAACCATGGGACAAGGGAAGTTTACACATGCCATGTGGAGGGTGTCTCCTCTGCAGAATGCACAAGAACACCCTAAACTTGGGGCTCCCAAGACAGAAAGTCTGGAGGTCTCTTTCTGTCTACTATGGACGAAATGAACTATCAGAAGCACTGTGGGGAAATGAGTTTTGTTGATAAAAGCCGACCCAGGGAACTTGGGCACTTTCCCTCAATTGATCAGTTCCAAAACTGAACAGCAATATTATTTCAGGAAGAGAAAAGTCGAAACTCCAGGGGTCTAGCCTACAAAACTGTCAGCAGAAAGGAAAAGCTTTACATGAAGCGATGGGGTTCCCCTTTCCATCTTCTGATCTACAATATTGTAGGGAAAAGTAATTCTGTCCAATGTAGACTCCTTTCATTATCAGGCACAACAAAGAATCTCAGGATTCTGGGATTTCCTTAAATTTGTAAAAACTTCAGTTAACTTTTAGAGTGTGTGAGGCTTGCTTCTCAACTTGCCCTTCTCCGACATTATTGAGCTATATGCTCTTTCTTCATTTTGACTACTGTGTATTGAAATTTGCCTCTCTTACTGTACATTCCCTTTTCACTAATCTCTAAAGAGACCTTAAGTCAACAATTTCTTAAACCCCTTAAACTGAAATTTAAGGTTGATGCTTCTTTGTTTAACAATGGAAACAATCTAAATCATACAGTGGTACAAGGTAAATATTAAATATTTTATCTGTTTAGTTTTTTTCCTGGTTATACAACTGCAAAACATTACAAGTTTGCTATAAAAAAAGATACATAAACATCGAGAGTCCTTCGCAGCCCCACAACCTAGAGTGCTGAAACAATAGTTTAATATTTCAAAATATTGAATCCATTCCATATGTAAGTAGAGCACTATCTGGATGCCATGATGGTCTATTTACTGTACAATTTAAGCGTTGCTGCTTTCCTCCTTCTATGTAAAACAGGCATACAGAAAATTGCAGGAGGAAATTAACTCAGCTACATGAGTTGTCCATAGTTTGTGCATGCCATGTTTTCAGAGGCATAGCTATTGTGTAGAATCCGTCTCCTGCCATTTTTTCAGTTACCCTGAGCCACGCATCCTCTCTACACATATTTAAGGCTTGATGTTCTATGTCTCTGTCTCCTGCCACCCAACTCTGTGAAAGCCAGAGTTCCAGGGAACCTCCAGGTGTGTGGCATGCGCTTGCTACCCCCACTTTGGCTATCTTCATGAAAGCTTCCTCAAATCGGAAGTAGAATTCAGATCTAGCAGAATACTGCTCTATGTATTATATTTCCTTCAGTCTTTATGTTTTTTAATGAGTAACAGTAACTCTGTAAAGTTTCAATTTAATGTTTCAAGACACTTAGACATGGGCTTTGCCTTTAAGTGGGTGGTATAGCTTCGTGAGGAGCAATTGGTTTCAGAAGATCCAGTTCATATTCCAGTCATGGCTTAGCCATTTTGACTATCAGAAATCAAGTAAGGTCACATACGTATGTCCCCAAATGTTCCACATGCTCTGTATATTTAAAGAATGAAATTACTCTCCAGCATTTGTACACACTGGTGAGAGAATATTTGCATGCAACAGAATAAACAATTTTCTTTTACAAAATCATTGCTGGATGTGTCGCGTTAGAGTTTACTTCTTTCAGATTCCTAGACTGAGGCAGTATGGCTAGCTACAGTTTTTTCAGGGTCGTTATTAAGTCTTCACGTTCAGGAATTTTAACCCCCACTGTTGTAAGACATGGCGTAACTGACCTTTACATCTCACCTCCCCTGGCGAGTGGGGGAATTCAATGTGGAGTTGCTAGCTATCCTACAGGAAATTGAGTCACCACACCAAACAACACACCTAAATGTCATCTGCAGCTAGCTGGACAAACACAGCGAACCAGTTTAATGTTGGCCTTTACCAAGAACACACGTTGCATTCATTAATAAAATGCCCCCCCTAGGGGGTCATATAGGCTGTGGCCCTACTTAAAAATATATGAAAACTCTTCTATTTAACTGTGCTTCACTTGAGGAACTACTGAAAGAAAACACCCCACCAAACACTATTGGCTAAACTCCACATACACTGGGAAAGGGCTGCGTCACGGGCAGCTGAGGAATAACAATGAGGATCGTCTCTGTTGTCTCTGTTATTCTGTGTTCTCCAAGGCACCCTGGGCTGTGCAATCCCCATGCGTCTGCTTTAACTCTCCTGAGTATAAGTAATACTCAATATCTGTGGGCCAGTACTTGGCTTCCATCATAGTAATGTGTGCAAGGGTTCCCTTGACACATGGCCTGAAATCTTGCCAAGGGCTCCAGGAGAGGATGCTGAAGCAGCAGCTCCTTGTCTTTGAGAGGGAAAAGCTCCGTCAGCTAGGAGCCACAGCAGTTGGCTAGAGGCTGTACTCATTTTTTTCTCGTGAAACGTTGGACCCATTACCCTTACCCACAACTTACTGAGAGCTAAAAAGATCCGTGCTTACAGGACATGAAACTTTGTAAATGCTAGCTAGTTTCTTTGTCAATATTTGTGGGGCTAAAGGTCAGTATAAGCCTGCTGTTATTCCTAGAGAGGCCTACTACTAAAGAACAGGTCAAGAAAGGGGGAGGGTAAGGGGGGCAGTCGGGAACACACAGACAAGCTTTGGGTGTCATTTGCAACTCTTCTTAAAATGTCATACAGAATGATCACAGCTGACTCTGATTGCTTTTAAATTAAAACAAATACACCAGACAGCTTCTAAGAGAAAATGCTCAAACATGCGTTTTTAATTAATTCCAGTTTCTCCTCAGCCACTGAAATGTCCTTTGTTCCTAAGGAGAGAACTGGTGGTATACGGAGTAGGCAGACTTTTGCCTCACATGTGAGCTAATCATTCCTCGGCTCTGCTACAAGAAACCATCTGTACAGGTGAGCTCTAATGCATTTTATCTGATGGGAAATACATGAAGGCCCTGTCTTCTCTTTCCGTGTGTGTATGTAACATGTTGAAGCCAAGAGCCCATGGCAAGCTGCCCTCATTTCCTAGGGTATTTCTGGAATCAACTTCTTCTTTTGAAGTGTTTTTAAATCTTAGAAAATATATAAACTTTCACTCCTGGCTTCAAAGATACATTCAAAGTAAAGATGTGTGTAATTTTGTGAATTTTCTTCCTATTTCCCACTAGCTATGATTTTTTTTTTTATTCTAAAGCTGACGACTGCTCTAGCAGAATTTTACAAATGGATTGAGGCCTATTAACTTCTAGTCTGATCAATAACTCAACATTTATAAGACAATACGTGTCATGAACTTTATTAAAGTTTGCAGAAACACAGAGTGTATGAGGATGTCCTTTATCCAAGGGGGGACTAGAGCCTATCACTGATGACAATTTTAGCACCATACAGTAGAAAAGGAAGGAGGCAAATGGGCTGTGGGGCAATAAAAGAGGGCCGTTTAAGTCACATGGGACACAAATAGGGCAGGGAAACCTTAGTCTTGAGAAAAGAAACAGAATGTGGCAGTTAATGGAGATTGTCGAACCACCCAGCATATCGATGAGGCATAGCTTCAGGCTAGTCTATGAGAGCCTTCTAAGAAACAACTGACTAAAGAGCCAGAAGCCTCCTTGAGTATGAACAGCATTAGCCAGGGCTCCAAGCTGAGTAAAAAGGGTGAAAAGCAGAAAGCCAAGCAAACATCAGCACTTCCCTGTTCTCCATGAGATGTGAT